AACAGAAATTGAAACAGAATGGGCAAGAGTGCAAAATAGATGGTTCAGGTGAAAATGCCTTATAAAATACACATCCACTACAATTTACAGTGAATCCTGTGAAGCATTTTGAGACGTCCCACGATGTGAAACGCTCTATATCAAAATGTAAGTTTTTATTATTATTGTGCCAATGAAGATTTATTTCAGCAAATTTATTTTAGGACTTCTCTGCTAATTATTTTTTGATTAAATCCATCTTCTCCAATAAACTGACTGGGAGTAAGCTATGGTCAGAAATGTTCAATTTGACCCTTCCCTAATGCAAAGTAGGTGTTCTCCTGTCATCTGCCATTCTCAGTTCAAGATGTTCTGCAGCAGTGAAGTTGACAAAACCTCCAACAGATCAGGACCAGAAGGAAATTCGGCAGAAATGCTTGGCCCTGGTGGACAGAGATTTGTTAAGTTGGTCTTATGGACCGTGCATAGATTTACAAAGAGATTATCAAAACCAAGCTGGTAAATTAAGGAATAGGAATGTTTGACCTTGAGAGCTACGGTTAATTTGTTTGCATGCAAAACATGTTTGATAGCCAGATGCCAACAAATAAATCAAGTGAATCAATACAAGGTATGCAAAAGCAGTTAGTAGAATTAAACATGATTTGTTGACGAGTACTATAATTGGGAGGCAACATCTCAGTTGTAATGCCTTTTGAAAGGCTGTTTGGACTTGAAATTGATTAAAATGTGACCTCTGAAATTCCCTATGTACTTATTTATTGCAGTGTAAACAAAAGATCTCAAGAGTTGCTTATTCTCAGTGTCAATTCCGACACACACCAGTGTAACCTCAGATTGAAATTGCAGATTTTCATCTGTACAGTGTGCTGCACACTTCTTGTTTCACTTAACATCTATTTGAAGATGACTCTTGATATAAATAATAAAAGTATTCTTTTGAAAAGTTAGTGGAACAAGAGTTCCAAAATAAAATTAGATGTGTTCAAAACAGAAATGAATGCCATGATAAGAGATAAAACACTAGAGGGGTGAGATTTAGTGGCCGAATGGCTGTTTTTCATTCATTATTTATGTCTTTATTTTCTCTGTGACCATACAAGCTATGACCATTCGTGGAGTCCTGTAGCTCAGTGGTTAGAGCACTCGCTTTGCAAGTGAGAGACCTGAGTTCAATTCCAGGCAGGGCGAAACCTTGGGCAAGTTTCCTTACTCCACACGCCTAATAATAATCCCTCCAAAAAACAAAACAATACTAAATTGGTAATTTTCAATCTACGACTGTTTGTGGGATATTGCTGTGTGCAATTGGCTGCCGCGTTCGCCCACAAATATACAGTCAATTTACTTTACAGTGTGTTCTGTGAAGTGCTTTGGGACGTCCTCCCGACGTGAAAAGCGCTATATCAAATGCAAGGATTATTATTATTATTATAAGCTGCCAGCTCTACTCTATGCAAAAATACTGAGTTGGATTTACCTAATGGAGATCAAAAGTGGAAAATGTTACAAAGGATCAAGAATTTAAAGAATGTAGGTCACTCTTATCAAACCCCAAACACACAAAAGTTCTGTACCAGCAGAAATGTATAAAACTATGTATTGTAAGACCTATTGTTTGTATACAATAAGCAGTTGCTCTTGGGCATGTTTCGGTCTAAAGCTGTCTGACCCTCAGACCCGAAAAAAACATTTATGGCTGAGTAAGCAGGATTGTTCAGCTGGTAATGATTTTTCTGTTTTCAATTGGCCTCAAGGCTAGTCCCAAACATTGGCTTCCACTGATATCAATGGAATTTTCTGGTTGCTGCTCAGGCACACTATACCCTGTAGCACACAAGCTGTTTTTGGGAGCAGAATAGAAGTAGTGGATCTAGATGAGCCACAATAATAAGAACAATTGTTTCAATATATTCGCCAAAGCCAAGATAATGTCTAATGTGTCATTTCTCTGCAAAATTTCATATCCGCACGTGTAGAATCCATCATTTTTACGAGAGCTCAGAAACCTTGGAATCAATTGGCCTTCACAATACTGCATTGCTGTCAGTGGATGTTTTTACTGCATTTAATTTTGAAAATCGAAACTATGCTATTCAAGTAAAAACCAGTTTACTTGTGATAATAATAATAATAATCCTTGCATTTGATATAGCGCTTTTCACGTCAGGAAGACGTCCCAAAGCGCTTCACAGAACACAATGTAAAGTGAATTGACTGCATATTTGTGGGCGAACGCGGCAGCCAATTGCGCACAGCAATGTCCCACAAATAGTTGTTGATTGAAAATGATCAATTTATTATTTTTGGTTTTAGAGGAATTATTATTAGGCTCTGTGTGGAGTAAGGAAACTTGCCCAAGGTTTCGCCCTCTGCCTGGAATTGAACTCAGGTATGTGTGTTCACTGTAAATACACACTATGCTCATAGGCTAGGTTAAGAGTGCAGTAGCAAATTCTTAAGTTAAATTTGTGTTAAGTTAACTTCCAGTGCAATACTGGGGAAATTCTCTTTTGAATGAAGCATTACATCAAGGCCCTGACTATCCACTCAGGTGGATTTAAAGTTTCCATGACACTATTCAGAGAGAGAATGTTTTTTTCCTGGTGTCCTCGCCAACACTCCTCAGATTAACTTTAGGGCTATTTTCAAGACATTTATGTGTGGAAACTGGCTATCTCTTTTGCCATAATATACAGAGTCCCTACACTTTGCAGTAAAATCCAGTGAAGTGCTTTCAGACCTAGTCCTAGTGAAAGACCGGGAAAACTCCCTTCTCTTTTCAAATAGTGTCAAATGTTTGAGTATAAAGGGATAAAAGTGTTATTAGAATTTTAATCTGAAGTGAAATTTGATAGTATAGAGTTGATATGAAATGTAAATTTGGATATATCAAAAGCAAAAATTATTTTATTATTATTACTTTAATTATAATAATAATAATAATCCTTGCATTTGATATAGCGCTTTTCACGTCTTCCAGACGTCCCAAAGCGCTTCACAGAACACACTGTAAAGTGAATTGACTGTATATTTGTGGGCGAACGCGGCAGCCAATTGCGCACAGCAATGTCCCACAAACAGTTGTGGATTGAAAATTACCAATTTATTATTGTTTTGTTTTTTGGAGGGATTATTATTAGGCGTGTGGAGTAAGGAAACTTGCCCAAGGTTTCGCCCTGCCTGGAATTGAACTCAGGTCTCTCACTTGCAAAGCGAGTGCTCTAACCACTGAGCTACAGGACTCCATGATTACCAATAGATCTGTCTCCTCTCTCTGTCTTTATTTATATCTCTCTGTCTACCTGTCTTGTCTATTTATCTTTTTCCAAGTCTTTCTCTCTTGTTATTTCTCTCCATTTGTCTTCTTCTTTATCTCTCTCTTTGTCTCTATAACTTTCCTTCTCTCATACAAGATTGGTATGAAGAAGGACCTTCAGCCCTCCAATGCCATCTCTCCTGAACACCAACCCTACACATCACAGCTTCAAGTTGCTTTATAAATAAGACTTCTGTCCGTCTGTGTTTCTATTTTCACCGTCTCTTTCTCTCTCTCTTTTTGACTCTCTTTCTCTATTCTTTGCCTCTTTCTCTCTCTCTGTAGGATATTCTATCTGTCTGTATATCCGTCTTTCTTCCTCTCTGTCTGTCTCGATCACTGTCTGTTTCTATCGATTTTCTATTTTCTATCTCTCTCTCTATCCTCTATCTCTCTACTTTCTCTGCGAATATCTTTCTCCATTCCCTCTATTCTCTCTCACTATTCTCTGTACCTCTCATCTCTATCTTTCTCTATTTATATTGTCTCTTTCTATTCTTCCCCTCTCTTCTCCATCTCTTTCCGTCGTCTCTTCTCTATGCTCCTCCGCCTTTCCTCTCTCGATCTCTCTCTGTGACTATCTCTCGCCATTCTCCCTACACACGTGTATTCTGTTGTTGTCTTTCTATTTTCCTTTGTATCTCTACCTTTCTCTGGCGCGCTCAATCGATCGAGCGAAAGAATAGAGATAAGAGAATGGAAAGACAACAAACGATCCAGCAAGCAAAAGACCTTCCTTCCTTCCCTCCCTCCCTCCTTTCTTCCTTCCCTCCTTCCCCTCCTCCTTCCTTCCCTCCCTCCTTCCTTCCTTCCCTCCTCCTTCCTTCCCTCCCTCCTTCCTTCCCTCCCCTCCTTTCTTCCTTCCCTCCTTCCCCTCCTCCTTCCTTCCCTCCCTCCTTCCTTCCCTCCCCTCCTTTCTTCCTTCCCTCCCCTCCTCCTTTCTTCTTTCCTTCCTTCCCTCCCTCCCTCCCTCCTTCCTTCCCCTCCTGTTCTCTTTTCTTTTCTCTATTCTCTCCTTCACCCCCTCTCTCTCTCTCTTATTCTCTGGAATTCAATCATAAGCGTCCTGTCGCCTGACGCATGCGCGGTGTCCGCTGAGGGTTCGCTACGTCAGACGCACACGCCCACGTACGGCTGGTCGGGGGTTCCGTCACACGGCGTGCGACGCCGCTGCCATGGTGACCCTGCGGCGTCCTAGCCTCCGGGAAGTGGCTGACGGCGGCTTCGCTCCTCAAACCCGCCCGCCACCACCTGGAGGTCGTCACCGTCACCGAGCTGCCTCCACCGGGAGGCCATAGCATCGCGTCCCCGGGCTACAACCCCGCAGCTCCTCACAGACCTGGTGCTGGTGATCTATCTGATCAATAACAACCCGCCTGATCAACAACAAACCCGCCTGATCAACAACAACCCGCCTGATCAACAACAACCCGCCTGATCAACAACAACCCGCCTGATCAACAACAACCCGCCTGATCAACAACAACCCGCCTGATCAACAACAACCCGCCTGATCAATAACAACCCGCCTGATCAACAACAACCCGCCTGATCAACAACAACCCGCCTGATCAACAACAACCCGCCTGATCAACAACAACCCGCCTGATCAACAACAACCCGCCTGATCAACAACAACCCGCCTGATCAACAACAACCCGCCTGATCAACAACAACCCGCCTGATCAACAACAACCCGCCTGATCAACAACAACCCGCCTGATCAACAACAACCCGCCTGATCAATAACAACCCGCCTGATCAACAACACTACTGTATTATTGTGATTAGTGACCGGGGGTGAAAAGTTATATTTCCAGCACTTTTATTTTAAAAAAATCACATTTAAATGAAGTAGATCGTGGCTGGTTGACCTCGTTCTTCTCATTATCCATTGATCACCGGAAGCGAAAAGGAAAGTATGGATGAAGACCCCGAAGTCAGGCTGATTGAAGAAGCAATTGAAGCTGAACTGAGGAAAATCAGCATCTCGCCCACAGAACTAGACCAGCCTGAAGAGGACTCTGTAGAAGACATTCTCGTTGAAACAGATCATGTAAGTCCTGTAGTTCAGTGGTTAGAGCACTCACTTTGCAAGCGAGAGACCTGAGTTCAATTCCAGGCAGAGGGCGAAACCTTGGGCAAGTTTCCTTACTCCACACAGAGCCTAATAATAATCTCTCTAAAAAACAAAACAATAATAAATTGGTCATTTTCAATCCACGACTGTTTGTGGGACACTGCTGTGTGCAATTGGCTGCCACATTCGCCCACAAATATACAGTCAATTCACTTTACAGTATATTCTGTGAAGTGCTTTGGGACGTCCTCCCGACGTGAAAAGCGCTATATCAAATGCAAGGATTATTATTATTGTAATCCCAAATCTGTTTAAAAATTACTTTTAAGTATGTTGAAACAGTTAAATATCAACACTTTATATCTATTTACCTTGTTAACTGAATTGTTTTTTTTGTTAGCAGCAAATGCAGCATATTGCATTTCTAATAGATAAAATGATATGGTCTTAGATACAGTTTAGGTAGAGATAGATGTTTTTAGATTGCTTTTAAATGAAGAGGTTGAACTTTTTGACTAACTTTTACAATCCATATATAAACAAGGATTTTTGAAAATTCATCAATATGCTTCTTTTTCACAGATATAAACAAAGGTGGAATTAAAACAGGACCTTTATGATCTGTTTGACTAGGTTCCACTGTATTTGTTGACTGAGAAAACAGGAGAAGCTTCAACTTTTGTTTAAATTGAGAATCTTAGATTAAGGTTGCATTGCAAATCACCACCAAGTTTGAAAAGTTGATCAATAAAAAAAGTTCAAGAAAGTAGAGGTGAGGTTGCCCTAATCTTTAGATTTTAAACTATGTGAATTGTAGGAGGAAGAAAAGACAAAGGTTGAAAGTAAGGAGTTCCATATTTTGAAGTCCGGGGAATTAATGAGTTGGAGTAGGTGCAATGAATCTTGGTTTCAACACAATTAGGAGACTGTTTAAATATTTTTGGGATTAGGTAGAGCTGAAATGCACAAATAATTTCTATGTTTGTTGTTTTCCTGATGGTTATATTTAATTCAGTACCAAAGTTAAGTAAAATTCATTGTATAAATGGTAGTATATGGTGCTTAGGGTTGATATTATGCTGGACAATTAATTGGACTGTTGTACTTTTAACTGCCCCTGGGGGCATGAATAATTTAAGATGATTTGGTAATTGTTGACATTCACATTTTAGGATTCGGATGATCTACCTGAGTCTGTTCTCTACTGTCTGGAACGAGTGAAGAGTAGAACTGAAGAGTTCGAAAAACTATTTCTTGAAGATTTGGAAGAAACAGACTGTAAGCATGTTTCAGTTTATCAGTTTACAGCTTGTGCTTTTCCATTATCCTGAAAGTGGCATTCGGTACTATAATTGTTTTCAAATGAGTTTTGTTTGACCCTTCACTGTCCTTTCTAACCCACATCCGTGCCATGACCCGCTCTGCCTTCCCCCACCTCCGTAACATCACTCAACTCCACTACTGCCTCTTTCCTCAAGCTGCTGAAACCTAGATGTAATAAATCCACACATTTATTACATCTAGGCTCGACTATGCCAACTTCCTGCTTGTCGGCATTCCCAACTCTTCTTTCCGCAACCTGCAGATCATCCAGAACTCTGATGTTTGTGTTCTCTCCCGCACCAGGCTCCATGATTCTATCACCTGCAACCTTGCTCGGCTCTACTGGCTCCCCATTCCCCAGAGGATAGAGTTCAACATCCTTCTCCTTGCCTTCAAAGCCCTCCACGGCCTTGTTCCTTCCTACCTCTGTAACTTGCTAATGCCACACCAACCTGTGCTCTGCCTCCGCTCAGCAGGCTCTAGTCTGCTCCACGTCCACGGCCCAGCCCGCCCCATCATCGGCAGTCGGGCCTTCAGCCTCTCTGCACCCACCTTTTGGAACGCCATCCTACAGTCCCTTCACCTTGCTTCCTCCCTTGTCTGCATCAAGGCATGTCTCAAGACGCTTCTTTCTGACCGCGCTTTCAGCCATGCTGCTACCCTCTCTGAACTCCACTCCTCCTGATCCCAACTCCCTGCTCTAGTCCAAATCCCTTAACATGTAGCACTTTGGGACGTCCTCTCGATGTGAAAGGCACTATACAAATGTAATTTGTTGTTTTTGTTGTTGCTGTCCTTTAGTTAGTCTTGGTGTCGATGAGTATTGCTAATATTGTGATTCTAAACAACAGTCTGCTCAATATTTATAAAAACATGTTTCTAATTTAAAATGGAGTTGTCAAATAAAATTGGTTATTTACCTCATGGCCTGGACATCGCTCTGTGCAAATTGGCTGCTGGCAGCATTTGCCTACGAAATACAGTCACTACACCTTACAATAAAATCCGTGAAGGCCTTGGAGACATTCACCTGACATAAAAGTAGCTATATCAAACGCAAGGGTTATTATTATCATTTGCTCTCAGAGGACTTTTTATTATATTTTTTTTCCAGATGCTGCTTATAAAGTTGTCCATTCTGATGAATTAGAGTACTTGACAGAATTGGCTGCAGAGATCAGTGAGGAAGATCCTTTGAACCTGAAGGAGAGGGTAATTCTATTTTTCTTTGCAATATTTAGCAAACCATTCAAGACATGATTAGATTCTTGTGCTGAGCCAACTGTTGTATTTGGCTTGAACTTTAAGGTAGTTATTTCAGTAACTGCCTGTACTCAAAGCTGCCAGTTCTCATCTGTTATGTGAACTCAGATCTACTGGGGTTTCAGCCAGAATTCAGTGCTCCTCAGGCTCAGTTGGTTCTGCTGCCAGTACTAGGTACTGGTGCTTGGTAGCTCTGTATTTTTTACTTGGGTTGCTTGGGTCACCCAGCTGGCAGGAATTGGGGGCAGTTTCTCATATAGTTCTGATTCGACCAATCTCCCGCCTAACTTGCATGAACAGCTTGTATGTATTTGAAAGTGGGTGAAGAATACTTTCCGCTCAGCAAAGAGATTTGAATTCATTGGAAACCTGGTGTCTCCAGGTTTCCAATGAATTCAACCGTGAATTCAGGAGATTTGTCAGACCTTATGTGTCTGAGTATTTCGTTTCAAAGAGGGTAATCAACAGCTGGCGTGACTTATAATGAAAAGTGCAGTAGGGTATAGGTCGCTGGCCTCATTTAAGAGGCAGCTTGATTCTGTAATGGAGGAATGTTGGTTGTGATTCTGGAAGAATGAGATTTAAAGCCGAAGGCTTTCCATATCTAAGCCTCTCTTTTGCATAGCAAAAAGAAAACTGAATTGTCCTGAAGTAGACCTCGGAGAGAGAGAGTGAAACTGAACCAGGATGTAAAGTGACTGGGTTGGGGTATATCTAAATATCAGAGGGATGTAGGAATAAATAAATTGAAATAAATTGTCAGAATTACACTGGCGAATAATGAAATTACCCATCCACTATCATTATTCCGAGGCTGTGGGTTCAGAACAGGTTGTGGTGCAAGAAAAGCAAATCAGTGAGGTGGAGATGAGAGTCTGGAAGTGGATCCAACTGAAAAATATTAGCTTTCTTGGAATGGGAGGCAGCAAAACTAGTGATGTAAACAAAATATAAAGGTATTATTTTCTTTAGGTACAAATAGACGATAAAGAACAGACACCACTGGCTCTCACAGAAGACCACAGGGATATAAGACTCAGTTTACAAGCAGGGACAGCTGACCAGAGGGACAAGGATGAGGCAATATCAGGTAATTAGTCTCTATGGTTTGCAAGAAAATACATATTAGAAATATTTAGATAGGAAATAACTGCTTCAAATAGGATTTTTGGCACTTGTGACAATTCTCAGAAATTGCATGACTTGTGCAAAGCATTTAATGAAAAAAACCCAATAATTTTGCAACAAGTTAGATTCTTGGATCTGATCTCAATTTTGAGCTTGAATTCAGTCTTCACTTTGAAGCATTTTTCTATAGTTCTTTAAATAACTTACAGAATACCGACTTCAAAATTTAGTCTGTTTCTAAGAACATTCCAATTTCTGGAGATTTTGAAATGCTAAGAAAATAAAGTAAGATCCAGATGAAATTTCTCGCGTTACATATTTTTTACCTTTAATACATTTTAATAGTTTACGTCTTGTCATATTTGGATTACTTGATGCAGATTTCAGTTAGGTACAGGCTTACGACCAATTTTTAATTCAATTGCTGTTGGATTGCCTCTTGATTGCATCTATGCCATATCTAAAAAAAATGTGGAAACCACTACTTCTAGGTTAGATATTAAATGAAATAATTTCAATGGGATTCAAACTGTCATCGGGAAGTTCAGTTTCTGCTCAGCTCTCAGTTGATTGTGGGCAGGAGAGGCATCTTGCCTGACTTATATCCACTGGTGTTGAACATTTTCAGCATAATTCGGGTGAATTAGCACAAACTCAGGAATCTGAGGCTTGTACACAGTATTAGAGCCATTATTTAGAGTACCAAAACATGACCATAGTGCCACAAACATCACATTTCTGGTTTGTAAAATCTAGCCTGCTTCATTCGAGTGGCAGGGTTTACAGAGAAGCTATGAGACCATTCATTTATTTATGAAGTTTAAAGTGTAAAGTGAGCTGAGCTGCAGATTAAGAAAGAGAGAAATTAGGTGGCATTACTGCAATAAGCAGTGGAAGGGCTCTTGGGGTCTAAAAGCTTCTAAACCTGTTGAATGATGGAATGTTTAAGTCAGAAAAAGAGCCCATTGGCCCATTGTGTCATTGCTGATGGTAGCTCACCCACTTCCCCATATCCTTCAATATAATTTTTCCTGAAGTCTTTATCCAATTATCTTTAAACAATGATATTCAATCCAGCCTCAATGAAGTATTACCTTCTGTTTAATGCCTATGGTATACTATGAAGCTGCAGTTTTAGTTCTAGTACTTTGGCTGTTTGAATTTGAATTCACCATATTTGTATAATTTCAAGGCATTCGTATTTTTAGTATAGAATTATATTCACGTTTGAACATACTATTTTATGACCAGGATTTAGTTAAATTTCTGTTGGCATTTCTACCTTGATTTTCTTTGAACAATGTTTCACAACTATGTGATAAGAGTTCCAGTACATTGGGGGAGGAAAAAATAACGCAAGATGGATGTTCAGAGATTCGTTACCAAAAATCAGATCATGTCATTCTGTGAGCTTCAACATGAGTAGAATTGAGTCGTCAATGCATTCTTGCAGTTTTGACATTCCCATTTCTGCATTCAGTGTGAACGAGAACAGAAAAGACAAACTATTGATGAATAAATATTCATTTATTTCCCCATAATGAAGATGATGATGAAGATGATCTTATGTCTGAGCACCTAGAGGTAGAAAAACAATGTTGGCTAGCCCTCCAGCACTGGGAGATTGAACAAATGGAGTTGCAGAAAGCACAACAGGCAAATCTGATAGAACAGAGAGAACGAGAGAAGAAACAAGAAGAGGAGATAGAAATGATCAAAATCAGACAGGAGCAATTTAAAGAGGAGCTGGAGAAATTCACCAAAGAAAGGCTGGTAAGATTTATGTGGTTTCACCTGTATGACACAAAATTATTGAGGAGCTGGTATGTTTAGCTCTGTTGACATTATTAGCTTGTTTTGTGCTATTGGATGAGTTTGTGTGTCTGGTTGGAAGTATACTGCCAGTACTTTGGGGGCTTCTAACACTAACTTCAGTGTTAGAATGTCTCAATTTGATGCTAGGAAATCATATTGAAAATTGGTCAGATCATAATCAAGATATTAAGTTATCAGTCTTCAGAATTCTAGGCAGTGGCGAAGCCAGGTTTTGTGACAGATGGGAAAGGTGGGTTATTAATGGTGCCACTTTCCTGTTGCTTTTCATGCTGCCTCATATGTTCCACTCCCTGTGCTGCCTCACACCTCCCGCTCCGGCTCTCTTCCCATCGTTCTCCAAGCTGCACTCTCTTCCCATCGCTCATGGTGCTGCCTCATACCTTCCATTCCTCTCTCGCTCTTCTCTCCATGCTGCCTCGTGGTCATAAAACCTTGTCAGAGGCAGCGCAGAGAACAACAGAAAGAGAGGCAGAGTAGGAGGTATGAGGTGCCAAACTTACACCTAAAGCACACCAGGGGAGGTGGGGTTGCCCCCCTATCACCTCTGCTACTGATTCTAGGGTTGGTTGACAAGAAACATATGCTTTGTAGTTGGTTCCCATGTATGGAAGAGAAAGGGTGCGTTGTATTAGATATAAGGAAAAAAAATTACAATTCTAAATAGGGGAAAGGGAGATGAGGATGAGTAGAAAGAAATAGTGTTTGTTTTCAACCTGACGTTTTTTAGTTTGTTTTAATTGTGTTTAGGATTAATATTACTATAATAGAGCAATTCCTGACATTTGGATAGTTTTATAATTAATATTGTTAAAACGAACGAGTTACAGAGCCTACAGTTTCCCAGGACCTAAGGGAAAGTATTATGTTACATTGTTTGACTTTGATGATAAGGAGCTTGAATGGCTCTTTCGGCTTCTGGAGCTGTGTTTTAACAAAGCCTAATAATAATCTTTGCATTTGATATGATTTGATGTAATTCGATGGGAAGCCTCTACCTTTTGTGATAAGGATTCTACTTGAAGTTAAGTTGTAGCTCACTTAAAAGTGGCCACATGGGAAGAAACCGACGGCATAATTGGACAATTATTGGCAAGGAAGACCATTTTGACAACTGGACTGTGGAACCTTTTTTAAATCTGCCTCAATTTGCGAGATGATTTTATTTTAAAGCACAGTACAAACCTGTCTTCCAGATTAAGATTGAAGTTTAATAATTTTCTGTAATCCTGCACTATCTTAAACGTGTCTTAAAGCTAAGTTGAATTTCAGACCCTTGAATGGTCTGACACAGTCACAAGGATAGAAACTGCAAATGCCCATTGATGCAGCAGGTGGTGCTCTTGTGAGTTTGAGATGAAGCCAGATTGTTTCTACAATGTAGAGGCATCTGGGAGACATAGTTAGTTCTGACACATAGTGCAAACGTTGAAGAATGTTTCATTTCCCAGTAACTGACATCCAGCATCGTAATGAGGACAAATTCAGTTTGAAAAACAAAATAAATAAAAGCAACAGTTAATTCTTGCCCAAATCAATTGTTTTTTATCATGGGTCTTATTTTAAGTAACATTCAGGTCTGAATAGGGCAAAAAAAAAATACTTTGCAGTTTTTGCTTGTTCATGTTTCACTTGTGCATAAATGCACGTGCCTGGGTTCAGTTAACTTTACAACAGAAGTGTGTTTACTTTGATCAGGAAACGGAGGCCAAACTGGAAGAGCAAATCCAACAGGAACAAGAGGCTTCGGAACAGGATCTGAAACATCACAAGGTAGGGAATCAGAATAATACCTCAGTGATACATAATAAACATCAAAATTAACTTATATACTTATATTGGAATCGTGAAACACTTCACAATTTCAATATAAATATTTAGCTTAATTTTAACAAGCCACTATAATTAAATGTGTTTCCTTTTACAACAACTACTTGCATTTATATGGCACCTTTCATGAGGGGCAGTGTCAAAGCACTTTTATGGGTCACAATACACCTGTTCTCTCAATTACCTGATGGACATGCTTACTGCCCACGCTTTTTTTCTGAACTTAACAGAACAAACACAAGCAAAAATGCACCTTGAAATATAGAGCATATGAAAGTTGAATTTACAAAGTGGAGTAAATATGTAAAAGGAACAGAATAATCAAGGGAAATGTAGTAGTGGGGTATGTAGTCCAGGTTTAATGAGAAAATTAGAGAAATATGGAAGATCAAGGATGTGAAGGAATTTATACAACTTTAAAGGATCTTAAAGTTAATTTATTGGGAACCAGATGAGGATTGGTAGTGATGGATGTGCTGGATTTGGTGCAAGTGAGGATATGAGTGGCACTGGCAGATGGATCCGAACAGGTTGCCAGCTCAGCTAGCAAATGAGGTGATTGTGTGTGTTGTGAGTACGCACAAATGTGTGTGATTGCTACAGAGGTATAAACATGACAGATATAAAATGTTCTAAATACTCATAGCCTGTTTTAGAGAGGAGATTAAATCCTCTGATGTAATTAGAATGAAAGAGTAAAGCCAGCTTGCTGTGGTACAGACATCATTTTTTGGCTACAACTAAGAGAAACAGTTACTTTAAACAAAAATAGAAAATTCCAGTACAAGGGAAATAAAGTATTTTAAATTGTTAAAATATGCATTAATTGATTTTTAAATACCTAGGAATTGATAAAAACACTGCAGAGAAAAGTGGATGAAGAGAGACGGACTTTTGAAGAAAAGGAGGCTAAAGAGAGAAAACGAGTGGAGGCACTGCAATGCAGAGCGGCAACAACAATTGAAAAACAAATTCGGGCACATCTGGTGTATAAAAAGTATGCTCCAATACTGAAGGAGAAGCGAAAGGGAAGAAAGAGAGAAAAAGAGCTAGAATTAAAGAGAGAGGCAGAGAGTAGACAGGAAGAAGCAGCAAAGTTGAGAAGGGAAGAGGAGCGAAGGAAGCTGGAATTTGAGAAGGAAAAGGAAGCAGAACGTGAAAAGCTGGAAAAGAAGAGACAGCTGAAGAAACAGCAGGAGGAAGAGAAAAGGAAAAAAGAGGAGGAATTACAGCAAAAGAAAAAAGAAGAGCAACGAAGAGAGGAAGAAAGAAAGTTGGCAGAAGAGAGAAGGAAAAGGGAGGAAGAAAGAAAATTGTTAGAAGACAGAAGGAAAAGGGAGGAAGAGCAAAAATTGGTGGAAGACAGAAGGAAAAGGGGGGAAGAACAAAAATTGGCGGAAGAGAGAAAGAAAAGGGAGGAAGAAATAAAGTTGGCAGAAGAGAGAAAGAAAAGGGAGGAAGAAATAAAGTTGGCAGAAGAGAGAAAGAAAAGGGAGGAAGAAAGAAAGTTGGCAGAAGAGAGAAAGAAAAGGGAGGAAGAAATAAAGTTAACAGAAGAGAGAATGAAAAGCAAAGAAAAACAAAAGGAAAAAATGTCATTCGAAAAGAAGAAGGAGCTGAGGTTAAATCAAGAGGGAAGTATTATTGTGAACAAAGTCAGGAATAAGGAAATTGAGCAAAATTTAAGTCTGTCAGAGAATCTGTCCGTGGTGTTACATCAGAGTGAATGTGAACACATGCCACAAGATTTTAATAAACCTAGAGCTTTTAGCAAAGACAAAGAAACAGCAGTACAGAATGCAACTAAACTGGCCACAGATACTAATTTGGAAATGGAACTTCCTACAGAAGATACAGTGAAAAATATAACGGAGAAAAATGACAGATGTAAAGTTACTATCATGCCAACAAAAAGCAGTGGTTTTGTGCAAGTGACCAATCCACGTGTTTTCACCGACTGTCTCCCAAGAAGAGAAACATGTGAAACGAAACCGGTATTAAATACAGAGCATATTAATTATCGCAATGAAGGTTCATTTGAATTAACCCAAAGTATAGCACATAAATTAGAGATGAAGTCCCGAGTCAGGGCACTTACTCTGCCTGATCATATTGAACAAAAGAGACTAAATTGGATGAAAACTTGTACTCCTTGGTCCAAAGTTAGCAGAGGAAACAAGATGAAAATAGTGAAACAAAGAATCAGACCGCATAAAAGTTCAGCCAGCCAATTGCTTGCTTTGAATCCTGGGTTAATACTCCATTCAGGGAGCTGGACTTCACTTCAACAGGTACAGATCTTACCATCAATCACTATCAGTGTTCCCTAGAAATGTTTCATTGCTGATTCACTGTTCACCCACACATGCATTACCTTAGTCACCAGTGTTTTAGTATTATTCACAGCAATCTGTTCAGGCAATTAGTGGTAAAGCTCTGATCTTTTGCAGTTCACTGAAGTCAAACCTCAATGGTATTATAAAACAATTTTTCTGATCAGTGAGTTCTTTGTATTTTGCATATTTTTGGTAATTTACTTCTACCTTTCAGCACCCTGGAGCCTCCTCGTGCCACACACTTCTTGGCTGAGAGGATAGGCCAGAGTATTGCTCCCAGGGCTCTATAAATGCTGTTGTATAGCAAGCTGTTAGAAGTATGTGGAAAGGGGCCAACAGAGACCGATTCTCTGATGTTTTTAACCCTCTTCCTTCTTTCGGAGCTCTGTTTCATCCTGCTTAATGCTGCTATACGGGAGTCCATTTGTAATCACAGACATCAATCAGTCTCTAAAGGTGCAGCTTTTTACAACTTCAGTCAATAGTTGTGGCACTCTCATTTGGGACTCTTTCTTCTAAAGGTTAAAATCCTCTGATAATGAGAATCTAGAAAAATTTGTGACTTGTAGATATGTTCTACTGAATTAATAATTGATTTTAAAAAAATCTTACATTTGATATAGCTCCGTTCACCTCAGGAGAACATCTCAGCTCACTTCATAGGATTTACTGTGTGAAATATCTTTAGATGGGTGAAAGGGCTTTCTTCATCAGAACTAATATTGTGATTAATTCAAAATAACTTGTAACTGTGTATTTTGTAGGAGAACACAGCTACTAATTTGTGCACAGCAATGTCTCACAAAGTGAATGGCAAGTTTTATTTAGGAGATTGTTGGCCAGGACACTGGGAGAAGCTCTCTTCTCTTATCAAACAGTGCCATTTAGCATTCACCTAAACAGCCAGACAGAACCTCGGTTTAAATGTCTCATTCGAATGCAGAACACACTTCCCACCCCCTTCCCGAAACTGCATTGCACCAAGCAATCCATCGCAAGTTGACTGCCTGTTTGCCTACAAAGAGACAGGCATTACACCTGATACAGTATCAGTTACCTATGAAGCATTGTTGAGACATTTCATCTGTCCATGTGAACCGACATTTTGAGACATTTCATCCGTCCATGTGAACCGACATTTTGAGACATTTCATCCGTCGTTCAGATTAGACGTTAAACCAAGGTCCTGCCTATTTGTTCAGGTGGACGTTAAAGATCCCATGGCAGTATTACAAAAGAGAAGGGAATTTCTCCCCGTATCCTGGCCACAAATCCCCAAAATAAAATTAATCGCTCATTCCATGGCCTTTTGTGGAACATTGCTGTGCACAAACTGGCTGCCACATTTTTGCCCATAAAATACACAATCAGTTCACTTCAAACTATATCCTGTGAAGCACTTTGAGAGAGTCGCGACGACTTGTTATGCGCTATATCAAACACAAGGATTATTATTATTATTTATAAGAGCTATATCAGATGCAAGGTTTTTTTATTATATCAATTAAAGGAATAGGTTACCTGCAAAGATGGTTGAGGTCGAGAAGCTGGAAGCATTTACGAAACTGCTTAATACTGTTAGAGGAAGATGGCAGGGTTTATATTCTGGAAAGATAATAATAATAATAATAATCCTTGACTTTGATATAGCGCTTTTCACGTCGGGAGGACGTCCCAAAGCGCTTCACAGAACACACTGTAAAGTGAATTGACTGTATATTTGTGGGCGAACGCGGCAGCCAATTGCGCACAGCAATGTCCCACAAACAGTCGTGGATTGAAAATGACCGATTTATTATTGTTTTTTTTGTTTTGGAGGGATTATTATTAGGCGTGTGGAGTAAGGAAACTTGCCCAAGGTTTCGCCCTGCCTGGAATTGAACTCAGGTCTCTCATTTGCAAAGCGAGTGCTCTAACCACTGAGCTACAGGACATCACACATGAGATCAAATTAACCAAAGAACCTTCATCCAAACCTCCTGATATATTTTTTCCTGTTCTGTTAAAGATTTGAAGTGACTGCTTTTATCTGCTGACCCAGCAATGTTATAAATGCGTTGTTATCAACGCCCAAGTTAATTTATTAGATTAAATTCTGATATGCACTATTAAATTAATAATTAGCGTTAAGCTTCAGGATACAAAGTTAATTTGGGATCAGGTTCATATGGGGCAAATCCAAATATATTTGGCTTCATCTTTAGAGCCAGAACTAAGTGAGGAACCACAACATTTGGTAACATTTTGATTAGGGACTACGTGAACTGAAGTTGAAGCCAAATCTAAAGTTGAAGTGTTGTTCAGAAACTCCCTAAGCAACCTGATAGACGCCAGACAAATATCCGGATGGCTGGGAGTAGATTTTACAAATTAGAGAGTTTAGTGCAAGGAAAATAGCCAAATTACCTGACAGTTCAAGAATAGTAATAATAATACAACTATTACAAGTTAGGAAAAAGCTCCTCCATCACAGGTTCTTCGTGTGCACTGAAACTGGATTATTCATTTTAGGTTACAACGGTCACCTTTTGCGATTTGCCTGGCTGCAACCTATCCACTCTCTCCCAGTGCCCAAGCCTCAAGTCATTGACACTCCGAAACTGCAGACTGGAAACACTGGAGGGAATCAGTCAGTGCAAAGGTTTAAAGTACATTGATGCACAGGTAAAATTCCTTCCATGTTTTACTAATATTTTCATATTTCCTTTAATTGTACAACATTTTTTCTCAAAGCATCTGTGGTTCAGCTTTGCAATCTAAGCACAATTTTAAACATGTTTCACCTAAATTCAAATCCCAAATTGCAGCACGAGTAGTTTTTTGAAGCACAACTCAAGTTAACATATTATCGTAGCCTGATTTAAATGATTTTATTATTTCCCGAGTGCCGGTTTGATCTTCCTGTTTCCTGCCTGTATAAGGACTCTGCATGCACCAGAAATAATTGTTGTACGTGCTGGAGAGTAATGGGACGCAAGATCAATTTTCTCCAACTCTGCAGATTTCCTGACCTCGGCTGCACTGCAGTGGGGAGGTTCCTTGCTGTGTTAAAGGGCTGCAGAGAAAATTGGATGGGAGCATGTACCACAGTGCTTTCATGTCTTTGTCCCTTCCTCCTCCCATGCAACTGAGTGGTGATAGCCAATAGCACCTGGGTAGTATGTGTCTTTTAGCCTGAAAGGTTACATGTTTACTGAGCTGCCAGTCAATAGGAGTATAAGGTGGAAGAAAGTTTCCTTACAGAGTCCTAGAATCACACCTCGAATATTCTCCATTGCACATTTGAAATCTTATGGCACAAAATAAGAATCATTTCACCCAGTAAGCATCGGGCAGCTTTCACCTCCTTTCTAAGTTATTCGGCTCCATCTTCCAGTAAGCAATAATTTTAAAGAATTGAGCCAACAGAACTTTAAAACTTTTTTGGCAGCTTTCAGACACATGCAGCTGATAATATTCCTTCGTCGACACTTATTCCGTGCCAGAACCTCCACCTGGTAGAAGCCTATATTTTTCAGCCAATTTGTACTATGCAAAGACTTAGAATATGTCGAGATAATACACAAAAACACAGAATATACAATCATTTCACTTCACAGTTAATCCTTTGAAGCACATCCTGTGACACATCTTCCCAAAGTGAAAGATATTAGACTAAACCCTGGTATCTGGGTATCCAGAATTAGTCCCTAGCCGGACCAGGCCCAAAACTAAAAACATTTTTAAAAAAATTCCACAAGCCCGCGCTGAGCAACCCACATGATCCCACCAATTTCTACTTCACTATCCTTTCTATGTGTCCACATGGATGAGTGAGTACTTTTATATACACAGATATGCACATGGTAGAAATGCACATGCAGTGCATTTTTTGCAATACCAGCATTATAATTACACTTAGCCGGAAATTCCAGCTCGCCGGACTGGATCTCGTGGCCCCTCCCCCCCCATAAGTCCGACCAGCCAGGGTTTATATGTACCTCAAATGTAAGCATTATTATAATGGAGATATTGGAGACGTAATATTCAGTAATTTCTAACAGGATTCCTTAGTAGGAATGTCTTCAGTAACCAGAAGTACTTTACACCAACCAAATGTAAATTGCATTGGAGTGGAGTTCCAGTGGGTCAGCTTGACACATCTCCGGGTTCCTTGCACCAATATTATTTAAGCAGCTAGTCCAGCGACTTGCCTCGGTCTTTGTCAATGCTGCTCTGAAATGGCAATGAAATGGTATAATAGTAGTGATCTCCATTGACTTCTTTAAGTTTTAATTCTTAACTGCAGTTTTTTTCTTTTTTTTCTTGGATTGGCTGAGATGAGGGAGTTCTTTGTGTGCCCTAATATACCACCACAATACAATACCATAGTACCGTTCATGTCAGAAGAATGTTGGAGAAGCTGATCAAACTGCTTCGCTGTCTGCATTCTACTGGCTTTGACAAGTCAATAACCTGACTACGATAATATTGTAGCTGCCAGATATTACCTGTCCATCATAAAGTTTAGTCACTGTACTGTATATTCAATCAAACCCGAAATGCTGTTTTAAGTATGGTAAAATTGTTTATCTTGCATAAGTTCACAAAATGTCCTTCTGAAGGATAATTGCATTAAGTGTGAGGACAAAAAACTGAAGAATTTGAACAATGACTGATGTTTTCTCTTCTTTGTAGGAAAATAACCTTCAGAATATCCACTGCCATGATCTGGAGGATCTTTGCATTCTTCTGCTCAGTAACAATCACATAACCTCCATGCATGGTCTAGAAAATTGCAGCAACCTTCAGGTCCTTGAACTATCACATAATCAGATCACCCGTATAGGTGGGACCTTTGGTTGTGCTTCCAGTTTACTTTTAGTGTATTCTGATTTGACCACATCAATGGTCAATTCCTCCTTCCTCTCTCCCCCTTGCTTGGTATCTGACTTAATCATTGTAAAGCTCCAAGAGACACTATCCTGTTTGAAGGATGCTATATAAATGCAAGTTGCCGTTGATGTTAAATATGTAGTGGTTAATGAGGAGGAATTGAGATGCAAATAAAACATTCTCAGATGTAAAGCACATTTTACATAAGGGTTAGTCTCTGCAGTTTAGTTCAGTTTACTTGTTAAACCCATGTAACTCTCAATGTATTTAGACAGGTGTTGGTGCTACTCTGTTGCTGTTATTTTGAAGCAGAGTCCATAAACTCTTTAAAAAGGCAATTAGATTCTCGAAGAGAAGGAATATTAAAGGTTATGGTGAGGGAGCCAGAAAGCCGAATTGGATGAGCTCATGCAGAGAAGACACTGATTTGATGGACTAATTGGCCGGTTTCTGTAGAGTGAATCCAAATAGAAAATGCAGGATTATTTAAGGGAACTCTTTTCCCCCAGGATTTGGCACTGCTCATCTTCAGACATGTGAAATTTTTTGCCTCAATTCTTTGTGCCAGAAGTTTAACTTGAGAAAGAGATCAAAACTAGGTCAAAATGCAAGCAACACTTTCACTCGAGTTTGACTGAAAATATCATACTTATGTTAGTATCTCTGCTGCACAAATTCTGTTATAACAAATATTGGTGTTCTATTCAACAGGCTAGCCAGAAATCAGTGAAACTAAATTTTTTAAAGTGATTTTCAATGTCTGGGATATTTACTCTTCAAGCTGAGTTTGTTTAGCGTAATTACTTAATTCCTGTTTTGCTCATCACATTGTAGGTGGTCTTGAATCACTCAACAAACTTCAGAGGTTACTAGTGGATCATAATCAGTTGATAAGCACTAAAGGATTGAGTGAGACGCCTGTTCTTCTCTACCTTGATTGCTCCTATAACCATCTCAACCGCATTGAAGGCATAGATAACTGTGGGCTTCTTCAAAACCTAAAGTTACAGAGCAACAGCCTTTCTGAGGTACAGTCATAGAGAATAAATTTGCATTTTACAAACTTAAAAAGGTTAAAAGCAACATACACCACGGCTGGCAGCCATATATCTTTTTGGAGTAGAATTGGGCGAGACTTCGAGAGTATTGAATAGCTGGCAGTAACAAGACAGTAATGCTGTGAAGGGATTCAGATGATGTTTTAAACTATTAAATCATAGCTCACATAATTTATTACTTTATTATTCATTTGGACACAGAGATAAGATTACTGCCTTGAAAACAATCCAATGTATATTTTTTTTCTGTAATGTACATTGTATGGGGTATTTTTTTATTCAGTTGTGCTGGTCATGTGAATGCCAAATACCAGTGTATTTCAATTACTGAATGATGACATCCACCATCCACCTTGTACACTATTACTATGCCATTATGACAGGATTATTAAAATGTAATTTAGAGTTGATAGCTATGGCTAGTATACAATGAAACACTAACAAACAATTTTAAGTTAAATAGAAGCTTCAACAAAATGGATCCATTCAAAACAAAAATAGTAGGAAGAGATTTTTGTACTATAATTCACCTTTGTGTGTCTCAGACATATCATCTTTTCCACAGCCACCCAGATTAGAGAATCACGTTCTATTACGGGAATTGTGGCTGGGTGACAACAGCATTTCCTCTCTACAGACACTCTCTAATTGCTGGCTGCCAATGCTCCAACACCTCTCTGTCTTCCAGAACAGGTAAAATCCAAAGTGAGAATTCATGGAAATGGTACATTACCAAAATACTATAAGATTAAATTCTGTTTACCTGGCATATGAGAGGTCTCAAAGACAATGATCAGGCTTGAGACGTCTTGAAGATTTGATAAGGGGCTATATAAAATGCAAGGATTGTTATTATTGTATATCAAATGTAGAATGTTAACCGTTTTTGAGTTAAGCAACTTAATGTTTTGGATAGATAAGTTTTGCCCATAAAATACGCAGTCAGTTCATCTTACAGTATATTCTTTGAAGCGATTTGAGACATCTGGAAGACATAAGGCCCTATATCAAATGCAAACATTATTATGCCTCAGATGTTTTTGTCAAAAGTGTCATTAATACTGTACTGATGCACTAATTCATGTTAATAATTGTTCTGAGTAACCCACTTTGCTACAGAGCTAATTCAGCATAATGCTGCACTGGAAAGAAACTAAGTGTTGAGCAAAAGTAACCACATATTTTAAATACACAATGAACAACTGTGATAAATTAGAAAGCTATTCTTTTACAACTAAATGGGTTTGAAAAAGTAAATCCAGAACAATGCTTTAGGATGCACCAAGGCAGTGGAACAAGAGGACCTAGGTTTAGAGTTGCAAAGTGTAACTTTAGAACTGACAAAAAGTTTGTCTTTACCCAAAGGGTAATTAACAACCAAAACAATTTGCTAGGAAGGGTGGTTAAAGCCAGGTCACTGGACATTAAAAACAACAGCACATGCCACAATGGGTGGAGAGTAGGTACTCTGGTGTCCTGGAAAGATGCAATTGAATGGGCCAAGGGCCTTCTTCATTCAAACCAATTTCGAGACTTATAATACAATAGGTAAAATAGGTTGATCAGATCTACACATTTTCTGCTGCTGCTACAGTGTTGAGGAAACAAAAAGGCAAGATATTATCAAGGGCTTCATTTCTAAATTCAGCAGCCTCCAAGATTAGTGATGTGGGCATGTTAACAATCCAAAGTGCTAAGGAGATAACTTATCAGCCATGATCCTACAAAATGGCAGAACAGGCTTGAGGGGCTGAATGGCCTATTCCTGTTTCTATGTTCCTATATTCCAACAAAATTTTATTTATCTCCCAAAACATTAATCTGGTCACCAAGTATTGAGTTCCATTTTAGGTATCACTTAGTGGTGGCCAATCAGAAATGGCAAATGAAAGAAAGGAATTAACTATGATTAATGGAGACCACGGGGAGGAGAACTGCCATACAGGTGCACCACAAAACCAAGGCTTGAACCCTCAGACATCAAAGTTTTACTTTTAAATTGTAAGTAATTTATTCATGACATGGAAGCATTTCCTATTCTGAAAGATGTTGCTATCAGTTCATCAACCCATAATGAGGAAATGGATGTAACAGATTGCATCTTGTAAAGCTTACTATTTGCTGGTATACTAGGTATCTGGACCTGTTCATCTGACAACACCACCAATCAGCTGAGACATGCAATGTGATACTGGTGCCAGGATGATACCAAATGTGTCTGCTGTAGTTATCTGAAATAAGCCAGATGTATTGAAAGCCATTTATACGTTACACGTATATGTATGGGCAGAACCCAATTTCCGGTAACACTGAACTTAACTCTCTGAGTTCATTGCAGAAGTTCAGTGTACATCTTCTGATATCTTATTCAGAAAGGCAGGTATAAGAAGGCGCCGTTTCAATGTGGAGGAAGAGAGCAAGAATGGCAATGCTCCCATCTTCCTGTTATCCACATTGCATAAAGGATCACGGTTTATTGTGTTGCTTCTTGTTGAATTCCCACATATATCATGTTATCAATTCCCACTTTACCATTTGTTGATTAGCAAAGCTTTGTGACAAGTGCACGGTTACTAATTTGCATCAGTATCTGTCTAAATTCATAATAAAAGGAGCATTCCAGCCCAAAACTTGATCCAATCGGCCAGCCCAAAAGTTAATCCATAAACTATGAATATTTAGCACTAGCAAATATTCTGAAAACATTTTTTAAAAACACTGTCAATATGACTCAATTTGGAATAAAAGTACGCTGTTTATAGTATTGGCAGTAATATTTCAGAGATGAGCCTTCAGCCAACCTGCAGCATTTTTCACTGTTCAAGGTGAAGTAAGCAAAAATGTTTTTTTAAAACCCCACTCTAAGAGTGTAGGAAGAAAACAATGTTGGGAAAAACAAAACAGGCTCCTGTATGTACCCAAGAGAAAACAAATCTCTAGAATGCTCAGACCCCAGTTTTGAGGAAGATATCAATAGATCTGCGCTTTGAAAACAAGGGGAAAACCCGCAAAAATAAGTCTCAAATTTCCTGCGATAAACCAAGGTGGAACTCTGAGCAAGGATCATTTCAAATCTGACAACTAGAAAGTTGAGTTTAAGCAGAACCCGATCTTATCAGTGATTAATAAGCATTAATAAAAATGTTTTGGACAGTTTATAAACCAGATACTAAACAGAATTAGGTCTTTGTGGAAATCCTTTTGTTAGTTGAGGAATGGTAAGTTTGTAAATCTTTGCAATAATATAATATAATCAATGCTATGTTAAATTAAATTGCCTACTAAGTGTTTCCTGTATCTATAGTGGTTTAAGTAATAATACTAGTGTCATTCCAAGGAAATGATTTGACAACTGATTGATGGTTTGACTTTTCCAACCCCTCATTGGACCCATGCTTCTTTCCATTGTGATTAACTTTGTTATTTCTGGATCAAAAAGCACTTGTTTAGAAATTATTTTTGACCTGAGGCTGATAGTCTCTGTGCTAATAAATGGATGTTGATCCAAAAAGCTTTGTAATCCTTTAACATTGTTGAGAATGTTAATAGTCGGAATTTGTGTTGCCCTTCCAACGGATTTTACAATTTGGTCTTGTTTGTTGAATCGCACAACAGACAACCTAGGATGAAGTGAACTACAAAGTTTTGAAAAATCAATTGTTATTCCACGGACAACTAATCTGCCGAAGAGTTGAATAGTATGTAATGTGAAATAATATTTCCAACTTTTACCTTCAAACAGAATTGATTTACTTGAATACTAAGTTACCAAAGTCTCTTATTCACTGACATTTGTAACCAGTGTCAAAAGCCATTTTGATACAATAGCATCGTGATGATTAGATACTGAAGTAATGCGAAAAAAATACAAGCTAATAGTTCAAATTATTATTTTGCAGTAAATAAAACGAATCCTTCGCTGATCTGGCCATTGAGATTTTAGGTAATCACCCAAATTTACTTATAATGAACCTTGCATTTGATATAGCACCTTATCCCATCATTGAGACATCTCAAAACACTTCACAGGATATACTCTAAAGTAACTGGGTGTGTATTTTATATATATATAAAATATATTTTATTATTTTGGATTAGGGGAGTAGACAGTTGCCCCAATGTTGTATGTTATTTTCGATTCATGTTATTTTCTTTTTTGCCTTGAATAACATTGATAATGATGATGAATAATAATAATGCTTGGATTTGATATAGAGCCTCTCAAAGCACTTCACAGGATTCTAATGTAATGTGTTGCGAAAGTGAATGCGGTAGCCAATTTATCCACAGCAGTGTCCAAAAACAGCCACAAAATGAATGTCCAATTTTATCTGGAGGATTATTGGCTAGGACACCAGGAAAAGCTCACTTCTTGTTTTGAGAAATACTATAGGATCTTTAACATCCACTCTGACAGGCAGATGGGACCATCGTTTAACGTCTCATTCAAAGAATGGCACATCCCCAGTGCTGTATTAAAGTGTCAGCCTAGACTGTGAGTTCAAAGTCCCAATGTGAGTTTGAACCTACAATCTTCAGACTCAGAGGCAAGACTGATATCATGGTAATGATACTGACAAAGTCAATGCTTTGTCATAAAACTGGCAAAGATATATTTGAAATACTTAATTAAATAATAAGTGAATTTTGTAGGCAGCCACTGAAAATCTGTAGCCATGTAAACAACATCACATTAAATATGGCAATCCAAAGACTTGTTTCTAAAGTACTTTTGCATTTATTCATGTTATTTCTCATTGTAGACACATTTTCCAACTTTCAATATCCAATTTTCTGTCAGCAGAGTCATGATCAATGACCAAATATTTCTACACTTACACTAACCTTGAGGGGAAAATACACTTTGAAGGTACTTACTTCATATTGTTTTGCTTAGATGAAAATACTCTGAAAAGATAGGCTGAAGCTCTAGATTAGGTAGAAATTTTTGGACCAATGCTATACAATTAAGAATTTAGTTAATAGAATTTCTCATAGAAAATTTGTCCAGAGAAAGGAAAAAAAACTTTTAAGATCAACTCACAAGGTCCGATCTTAAAACTGCGTTAATACATTACATTATATATATCTTATTATATAATATATAATCTTATTTTGGTGCCTTTGAAAATAAATTAAAATGTATTGTTTATGGACTCGATTGCATTTTTTAAAAAAAATTCCTTTTTATTTCCCTGTAAATGTAGACACGGTATGCAGTGTGTCATGGCTAATCTTCCTCCTTAATCCAAATACACTCCAAAAATAATCAAATTGGTTTGATTTCTTATTTCATTATTAGTGGAGCATAGCTGGTTACCTACATACCATTCTAAATTACTTCTACCCACATCATCTTTTTGTGATGGAGCTATTGTTTAGGTTTATGATTGAGCTGGACATTAAAGGATCTTTCCCTCTTGGCAACTACTTCAAAGAAATGTGGAGTCTTCCTCCCCATTTCCTTGTTTTAATCTGTCCTTGTTGTCCAAATTCACCAAAAATTCAAATCAAGTAGCTACTCTTCTAGTTATTTGTAAGATGTTACTCCTGCAGATTACAGCAGCTATGTTTCGCTACATGACATTCATCTCACATCCTAATTTATTTCTTTTTGAAAACAGTTTGAAACAGCCGTGAGTATACGTGTTCCCAATAAGAATTTTTACTAACAAGAATACATACTGGTTTCT